GAGTTGTATGAATTTTATGATGAATAAAACTTGAGTTCAATAACTTTATGTAATACATTTTTTTTCAAATTTCGGGCCCCAGAATTAAGATGCGTCTTATACATGATAGCATCTTATACATGGGGAAATACGGTAACGTATGATTCTTATTGATGGATGGGTCACCATGACATTCTCAGGCTTTGTCACAACCATAATCATATGTCCACTGACCCTATTTTAAGCCTATGCTACAGCAAGGAATCAAACTACTCACATTAGCTGCATCCTGGTACCTCTGCTATGTATTTGGGCTTCACAGAACTTACTCTCTCTGATTCTGGGCCAAGATAATAACAATGACCAATCAGGAACGATGCAGGAGCAATGACTGGAGCAGCCATGGCCATGCCTCCAGATGCCAACAAAACTTTTAAAATGAAGTGGAAAGTTTTGGAGCAAATGGATCACCAATGGACACTAGATTATGTCAAAGAGGAGTTTATGGTCAAAGATCTCCACTTTAAAAAAGCACGTTCCAAAAGTTATTACAGACTTATTTTTTGATGACCAAGCAGGGATTAACTCCGTTGGGAACTGGGGGTAGCCTTAACCTTGTAACTTCGGTTTGAGGTGAAGCCTCTCAGAATAAAAAGAAGAATGCATGAGCTGGTGGGCATGGCATGCAGCAAGGATCCTTCTTGTCTGAGCTGGGTTCCCCTTTATTTTTGAAACTAGATGAAATGAGGAGTGTGAGCTGGGGGACATATAGGGAAAGAGCTATTTTTTAAATGTTCTAAAATTTCCTTCTGCTGACTGGAGAAGTGAACGGCAAAGAAATCAGAAAACTCAAGCTAGTACTAATATCTAAAAACATAGCAAAAATTCAATCTTTGGCAGAAACACTGTCAATTATACCTAATTATCATGTGCGCAGCTTCTAACCACAGTAAACTCGTGTTTTCTTGGGATCCAAACTCCCTGTAAAATTTATGTGCTAGTATTTTTATAACTTCCTTTACAAAAATCATATTTTTCATTACTGAAAATTTGCAAACTATGGATGGGCAAAACAAATCTCCCTGTATTCATTTTGAGTGTACAGAATGACATAAAGACAAATGTGTCAAAACTTTATTCAAATAAAGTTTTCAGAGTGACCACTCAGGGCCAGGAGAGACTCAGCAAACCTTCCGTATCTCTTAATACTGCCCAGAGGGAAACAGTGACCTGAGACACTGCTGGATTCTCAAGTGCCTGCAGGGTGATCAAAACTGGTTAAATAATGGGAGGTTCTTAATCTGGAATTTAGACTGTCAAATCCACTAAAAAAAAAATCAATAGTTCTATAGTCAATTGAACTAAAGACCCAGTTATTGCAGATAAGAGAGTTTATGTATCATTATTAGAAGGGAGAAAGGGCAATTGCTGACAGATACATAAATAAGGGCTGTCCAGGAATAATTCTATCTGGATTAAATGTTCCAGGGAAGTGGCAGGGTGTCATTTCTTTATCAAGAGGTAGCTATAATTTGCATGTTGAGTACTGTAATAAAAAATAAATGACTCTTGGCTCTACAAATTAAACCATCCTGTTTTCTCTCTAAAAGGCAAACCAAATGTAAAAAGTAAAACTGCAGAAGTTAGAATAAGATCTGTGGATTATATCAATGTCTGCTGTTATGATACTGTA